AGGGGGTGGGTGAAAGCGCTGGGCACTCGGTGCCGGCGGCGGCTCCTCACAGGCCGCACATCTCCCCTCGCCCCATTCCCGGTGACCGTGAGGCCTACCTCTCCGGCCGCGTCGCGGTAGAGGGATGACTGATGGGCTGTCGCATGTCGCGACTGTGGCGCGTGTCTTTTCGTTGCTATCACTTAGCTGAGAAGGATGGTTTGCTATAAAAGAGTTCTACAGTGTCATATATATTATATACATATGGAAGCTATCAATCTTAAATTCTGTACAGCCCCAAAAATGTGGGCCTTGTTTGGTTTTGGGGTTTTTTTTTGTTTTTTATTTAATACAGAATGTTTTAGCACTTAGTATAGATTTTCCTAGAGCACAGCTCTTCCCCATTCTTGTTTACAAGCTGATTTAGACTGTGTTTAATCCTTCAGTAAGCAGGAATCAAACCAAGCACCATAGAGAATGTTTATGCTTTTAAGATAGTCTGGTTTTTGCTTCCTCTCTGTTTCTATAGGAAGGAAGGAAACATTGCTACTTAACGATTTACTTTGTCAGAATGTTTCATTTTCAGTTGGTTCTGTGACTCAATTTTACTATTTTTTAGAATATTCCTGAAGAAAGTTTGTATGTGAAATGTAACGGGCAACTGGTTAATGATGAAGATACATTGCAGAATGGAGCTGTTTATAGTCTGGAACCAAGACTTTGTGGTGGAAAAGGAGGTTTGTCGCTTAACTGCTTGTTATTGATTAGATTCCTAGGTTAAAAAATGTTTGTTATACCATAGTCTATACTGATAGCAGCAGTCCTAATATATTAGCAGATCTCTTGTAATGTGGATTACAGTGTTATAATGTCTCTGAGCCAAAACCGAACTCTGTGCAAAGCTGAGAATTGACCAGAGAAGCTGCAGTTCAGCTAACAGCTTTGCTGGCATAGCTCTTCTTTGCATCCCTGGTCAGCTTATCTCTACTAGTAGAAATCTGTAACCTGCATCATATTTGAAATTGTGTTTAAAAGCACCTGGCTTCTTAGGCCCTAAGTTTCATTCATGGCCACTTAGGACAAGTATTGCAGGTACAAATAGTCTGTGATTTGTGTGCATTATATGACCTAATTGATTTTTGTCTTCTCTTATATGAAAAAATACATAGATGCCAGGATCTCGGTAGCCTAAAAATGAAAGAATTAAATTTAAACTTGACTCCTTATATTGACAAAGTATTTTAACTGTGTTGCAGAAGATGTATATTAAACATACAAAACGATGTAGCCACTGACAATGTGGACTTTCCCTAAAATGCAGCATGATGGGTGAAGCAAGTTTACCAGAGTATTTGAGTGTAGTGGTAGTCAATATGTTTGCTTTTTGAATCCAGTTCTCCGAATGTTCCAGCTTTTGAGCTAAAATGCTGAATCATTGTGCAGCCTTGCATCAGACTGCAGCTCTGCTTACTTTGCCCTCTTCAGTTTTAGATAGAACTAGAAATAAATATTGTTGCTGTGGCTTATGAAGTATTGTGTTTTCTTTAACTGCCCTGAGAGTGGTGTATATCATGTAAGTTTATAGCATAGGATGTGTCTTCCTCACCTATTGTCCCATCAGCTTCAGTTATCCTGGGATGACGCATGGTACGCATTCTGTGATTCGCTCTGTGCTACTGATGTGCCACTGGGGTCAGTTCAAAGTTATTCTTTAACAATTTTGGCTGCTTTCTAAAGTGTTCCTTTTGTTTTGACTTTATAACTTCAAAACCTGATAAAAAACACAATCACAGATCAGAATTGTTGAGACTTACTATATGATCTCAAGAGAAGATCATGCTGGCTTAGAAGAGAACGGAACATTTTATTGCCAGACATAATTCAACTTCTACAGCCTTAGTGAATGCATTTTTGGGAGCATGCCTGGCTAGGTGTAGCAGCTAGGTCCACGTTCTTTGCTTTCAAATTGTTTGAAGGATTATATTAACATTAATCCGCGTTGTGCTTATTTGAGGTACTTGAACAAGTGTCTTTCTCCAACTGGAGACAACATAAAGTGGGACTGAGAGAAATTAGCAGTCTTGCCTGTGAGTAATTAGTGGCTGAGTAATATATAGAAATCCATTTTGGGGGGTTGATGGGACACACGGCGCTCTCCAGTGTAATGTTGTACATCAGGATCATCTTGATGAAGCAGCTAAGGCTATCTGCTAAAAAAGTTATTTCATTTTAGTTTTATATTAAAAAGGAGATTTAAGATTGGTGGAGGCTAAAGGAACTTGAGGAGCCTAAATTAGGAAGTTATCTTAGATGCAAAAGGTTTCAAACCATTTTGCTGGGAGAGTCCAGAAATAGGCTTTCTTGTTAGACATGCTGCACAGATTCTAGTAAATCTGGAGTCCATCTGGTGTGATATCAGGAGCATAAAAACAAGATGAGTGGTAAACACTGGATACCTTCTTTTCACTTAGTGTTTCAGCATTTCACCCAATGACAATTCTCTGACATGTTGCAACTTTCAACTTGCCCTTTATTTCAGTTGAACTGAAGAAGAGGAAGGTGTTGAATTCACTGTATTCTTTTTTCATAATTATTTTCTTGCATATTAGCTCATCTCTATTTGTTTCTGTTAGCTAATTCTTGATTACTTTTTTCTCAGGGTTTGGATCTATGCTGCGAGCACTTGGTGCTCAGATTGAAAAGACAACAAATAGAGAGGCTTGCCGTGATCTCAGTGGAAGGAGGCTTCGAGATGTCAATCATGAAAAAGCGTAAGACATTTTCTTAGAAGCTAGAATGATAAAATAAACTGTCCATGTAGTTCACTGTAACAAAAGGTCAAATGACAAGCTGTTGTAGCAGTGAAATTTTAGTTTGAATACTAAAAGAGCTAAAGTGAAATCTTGAGCAGAGATAGACTGGAAGCCAACAGGATTCTTCTCACTGTAATCATATTACAGTAAAATAGATGTGATTGTACTGCAGCCTGCTTCTGAGAGATTGTTGTGCACATCTTGGTTTTCTTATCTGGAATTCTCACAGTTCTTTCCTCTGAAGCTGCAAGACCATGATATTGGGGATATGTGACCTTACTGCTGTTTCTGGCTTCCAGAATAAACTGTACTCTCTTATCTGTAGCAGAATTTCTATATATTCCTTCAGTAATTCCCCTGGGTGTTGCTAGTTGTCATTTCCCATTGTCTCGCATCCTAGCAGGTGTTAGAAGCGTTCTGGAGTTGCAAAGCGACAAACTGGTATTACATTAAATGCTGGAAACACTGATATTTTCATGGTTCTGTCATCTGCAGGATGGCTGAATGGGTAAAGCAGCAAGCAGAACGGGAAGCAGACAAGGAGCAAAGGCGCTTGGAAAGGCTGCAGCGGAAACTTGCAGAGCCAAAGCACTTTACCACAAATCCAGACTACCAGCAGCAGTATCATGAAATGTCTGAGCGGCTAGAAGATTCAGTCCTTAAAGGTATTTTAGTTTGAACCTCACTTTCTCTCTTCAAAAAATAAAGCAAACTAGAAGTCCATATAGCCTCACTCCAGTATGAAAACTAAAAAAAAAAAATTGCTGAGAGTAACTCTTTCAATTGAATGAAATTTTAAATTCCGGTAAAATCTGTTGGATTTAATTTTTCCTCTGGCTGCTGCTTCTTAAATTTCATTGAGCAGTGCAACATAGATACAAATGATGCTTTGTCTTGCTGTGCTAGAGTGTCATCTCATTAAAAAAGCAAAATTCTGTGAAGGTAGTAATGCTAGTTCAGCTGCAGGAATTACAGAATCTAGAAATTGAATCCAACTACAAAATACCTTGTTTCACTTACTGTTCTTTGTAGTTATATTATTTAAACACGGATTGTTCCCTTGCTGGCAGCTTGATAGTGAAACTTGAGGCTGAATGGGACGTAGAACCTGAGAGTTCAGTTCAGGAATCCGAATTTAATTGACTTTGTGCTTTAGTAAGGCTGTGCAGGAAAGCTTTTGCTGCTAATGAGTTCATTTTGAAGCTTTTGAGTCTACAGAAATGTGCACCAATGGTGATTATATTGTTAGTATTTTAATTTGCACCTGAAATTAAAAGATTAGTAGAATTTACAGCGTACTTGAATTGCCTTCTGATGAAGTAGGTTTTTAACTTTGTTTTGAAGGATTGCAGGCTATTTCAAGCAAAACAGTGTCACCGCAAAGTGGCGGCAGTCGGAAGCGTCCAGGTGAACCTGGAAAGAATGGAACAAAATCTCGAAAAAGAAAATGTTTTTGGTAAGCGTTATGCCTTGTTTTTATACTCAAGTATTAAGCCTTGAAAAGGATGAAAGGTTAGGTACATACAAGTAAGCAACGTCTTATCTGAGATGTAGACTTAAATAGGAATAAGTAAATCGAACTTATTAAGTTGGAGAACTGAAAGTGAATGTTGCTTCTGTCATATAATTCTGTCCCAGACAAACTTTACTCGCAAAAATAGGCACCCTTTCCACCTCCCTCTAATATGATTATATTCCACTACTTCCCATTGTCATTTTCTTCATTAATGAATTAAATTTACAATAAACTTAGAAGAATTTTTTCCCCTTGGCATTTTTCATTTCATTTAACATGAAAGAGAAGTCTTAATGATTCCAGTGATGTTTGAAGTAGCAATAGATAGCACACATTTATTGGGCATGCTGTAAAAAGATAACTGTTACTGGGGGATGTTGGGTCCTGCTCATTATTAGCAGCTCTTTACTAAACTATCCTAAATAGCTGCTAGAGTAGTTCACTGCAGCTCTCTGAAGTGAGTTTTGGAAAGAGAAAAGTGGTGAAAATAGATGCATACTCATTAATAACATATTGATTGTGCCAGGCTGGGATTGGAAGGATTGGATGATTGTGACAGTTCAGATTCTGAGAATGACAGTGAAGATGATTCCCCTCATGCATCTGACGGAAGTTGTCCATCAAGCAGCAGATGCAATGAAAATCCTGGAAGTTCAAATGAATGTTCAAGCAGCTCTGTGGATTTGGTAAAGGACAGTCCAGCTACCAGTGCGGCTGAGAAACCACTGGAGCAGCCAGAAGGTGCTAGAAGATATCTGCAAGGAGAGACACACACAGGTGGACAGACTGAAATTCCAGCTGAAGAAAACAGTAAAATGATAAAGCCCCTGAAGGAAGAGGCTCAAGAAAAGAATGAGGTAACCCAAGCTCTGAAAGAAGAGCAAGGAAGTGTTTTTTCTAAGGCACAGGAAACGTACCAGTTACAGAGCACAGTAAGTGTGAAGCAGTACAAAATGTGCTGTCTTTTTCTTCAGCTGCTTTTAGTCAGTCACTTTTCCCTTTGTGGATCGCAGAAAAGGGAGGAGGGGATTTGTATCCTGTGACTTCAGTGCATTAGCTACAAGTGCTTGGATTAGAATTATCGTCTCTGTCAGAAGCTAATAGAATCTTCAGAGTTTGATCCAGAGCACAAAAAAATCCCAAGGTTAAAAAGAAAAACAGCTTAACTGAAGGTGCATCATACAACTTAGGAAAATGGAATGTGGCAATTTTAATGGAAACTGCAGCCAAATAAGGTTCTTGGTTGACAGTGTTTCCATGGAGAAAGTTGAATTGTAGTATGGTAGCATTGTGTTGAGAGATGCTAAGTAGAATGGGTCAAGGAAGAACTTTATAAGATTAGGATTTTAATAGTCTGAAGTTTCTGCTAAGTTACGGTTGCCCTTGGCTGTCTAGTATTGTCTTTCCTGAGGTCTGTGTTTCCCTTGGATTTTGTTGTTGTTATTGTTTTGGTTTTTTTCTCTTTCTACATAAATATAATCTGGATCCAAAATTCTTCACTGAGGGGGGGAAAAGGAAAATGAAACCCTTCTGTAGGATGAAAGACTCTTATAAATACTTTTTGAGACACTACCAAAAACTGTCCAGTTTGACTAATTTATTTATAACATCATTTGATCTTAATGTTTAGAATTGACCTCAGTGTTTAAATTTGAAGTTATTCCAAGTAGATGCCACCTAAACCAATCAGTTGATCTTTCTTAGTTTTTATTATGAAAAGACTTGAGTCTAGTTCACAGAGAACCCAGTAGTCTCATGCAAACTTCAGTTCTTTGTTGACCATTGAAAATCTGAAATCTGCAGCCCCTTCAGTAGGGAGGCAGGATTAGTATAAATGATAGGCTGCGTCTGAACTGCAGATGGTGGCAGAGTGGTTTTCAAATTGATCATCTGGTGTATCCATGATGGAAGCAGGTCTCTGCTGTTGCCACACCATTATATCTGCAGGCAGTCTGGGTTAGCCCTCGGCCAGACTGGGCGCAGTGCTGACCATGGGGTTCCTTCTCTGGTGACTGGCAGGAGGATGTCTGGGATTCTTTTGCTGAGGAGGCTTTGGATCAGTCTTCCAGCCAAGAGAGAATAGAGCTTTTCCCACCAAATTGGTGAAAGCCCAACTAATATTTGGCAGCAAAAGGTATCAGTACTTGTGCTTTATTTCCCCTTGCATGATATTACTATTACAATTTTTTTGGGGTAATGAATCTCTAGGCTTATTCCATCAGTAAAACAGTATGTGGCACGTTTTTTTCGGAGTAGGGAATTGCTTGGATTTTCTGCCTTGTTTCAGCTTGAACAGGAAATATACTATTGGCTGCCACTGCTAGTGACCGAGTTCTGAAAAGTGAAAGTTTAATACAGTTAAGTGGTAACAAGACCAAGGATGTAATCTGGTAAATTAAACTTTGTCATCTACTGTACTACTAGGGCTGACAAATTCTAAACAGGATGTTTACCATTTTTTGCTGTTTACTTTTTGCTCAGTATTTGTGAGAGTGTCTATTCCTGGAACAGGAAACTCCACCAATGCTGTGGCAGATTGTTATTGCAGGTGGAAATATTTTATAATAGTCCTTGATGGATTTTATTTTTTTATGTAGGACAAGAATAATGAGGCAATCAGTCTTTTTTTGTATGCGTAGCAGGACAAAGGTTCTAATTCTAGTGTTAATTGTCTTTGCTGAGTTCATAATGGAACAACCTCATTCCCAATGCTGGTATTACAGAACCACAGAATGGCAGAGGTTGGAAGGAACCTCTCTGACCATCTAGTCTAACCCCTGAGGAACACCACGGGCCTCCAAGTAGACTCTGCCCCACTGACCACAACTCTTGAGTTCTGCCCTTCAGCCAGTTCCCAATCCACCTCACTACTCCATTGTCCTGACCACACTTCTTAAGTTTGGCTATGAGGATGTAATGGGAGACGGTGTCAAAAGCCTTGCTGAAGTCAAGGTATGCCACATCCACTGCCCTCCCCTCATCTATGCATCCAGTTATGCCATCGTAAAAGGCCATCAGATTGATTAAGCATGTCTTCCTCTCAGTGAATCCACATTGAATACTCCTGCTAACACTCTTTTCCTTGACATGCGTTGAGATGGTGCCAAGAACAAGCTGTTCCATTATCTTTCCAGGGATGGAGGTGAGGCTGACTGGTCTGCCATTACCTGGGTCCTCCTTCTTACCCTTTCTGAAGACATTGGCTTTCTCCCAATTCTTAGGCACCTCTCCTGTTCTCCAGGACTTTTCAAAAATGATGGAGAGTGGCCTAGCAATGACCTCTGCCAGCTCCCTCAGTACTTGTGTGTGCATCTCATCAGGGTCCATGGCTTTATAGATGTCCAGTTTACTTAACTGTTCTCTAACCCAATCCTCTTCAAGTGAGGCAAAGTTTTCCTTTTTCTTGACTTCCTTTGTGGTCTCAAAAGCTTTGGGACTCCTGAGGGCTGGCCTTAGCAGTAAAGATGGAGGCAAAGTAGGCACTCAGTAACTCTGCCTTCTCTTTATTCTCCGTCACTAGGGCACCCACTTTATTCAGTAGTGGGCCCATATTTCTTCTAGCCTTCCTTTTGCTTCCAGTGTACTTGAAGAAGCCTTTCTTCTTGTCCTTGACTTCCCTTGCCAGGTTTAATTCTAAGGAAGCCTTAGTTTTCCTTGTTGCGTCCCTACATCCTCTGACAACGTCCTTATATTCCTCCCAAGTGGTCAGCCCCTTCTTCCCTCTTCTGTAAACATCCTTCTTCCACTTGAGTTTATCTGGTAGCTCTGCTCAGCCATGCAGGTCTCCTGGCTTCCTTACTTTGATTTCCTACTCATCGGTATGTTCCTATCTTGAGCTTGGAGGAAATGGCTCTTGAATATTAACCAGCTCTCTTGGATCCACCTACCTTCTGGAGCCCTATCCTATGGGGTTACTTGCTCTGAAGTCCCTTTGATGTACCAAAGACTAATACGAGCTTTAAGTATTAAAGTGGGCTTAGATTTTTTTGGTCATTTTTATTGTGTTAATGGTTAGTGTTGGAGTTTAGTCTGTTAGTAAATGCCAGCTTTTTAGTTATCCGGTCTTTGTCCATGTTCTTTTGTGGTCGAGACTCTGGCCTTGGACTAGACAATCTGTTGAGATCCCTTTAACCATCAATTATTCTGCAAACACACTAATCTCCTTTTAAGGTGAAATTTTAATCCATTTTCTTGTGTCAGGATGAGATGCGAACTTCAGAACTTGCTCTTTTATCTTACTAAGAAGAGGGGTGCTTTTATAGCTATTTCTATAATTACAGTGTAACTGCATTAGAAATAACTATTCATCGTCCTTCCTGCTTCTGCTTTGGGTATATTGGTTGTACTCTGCACCTGTCTAAAAAGGGGCCAATAGCTTTGCCATGCCTCTGGAAGCCAAGGTTAAGCTACTGAACTGCTAGGTAAGATGGTGGGCTGTTGTTCTAATTCAGTTTTCTGGGAGCACATAACTGCCCTGGGTATAAAAACAGTGTAGACCATTTTGTCTCCAGAGGAATAAGGTTAAATACTGCCACTTAATTTTTTTAATTTTACTTTTTTGGCATTCCTCTACTGCAAGTAGAACATGTTAATTCTACTGGAATGATTTTAAAGGTTAAGTGGTGTTTATGTTGTTTAAAATGACCAGTTTTTTACTATCTTGGAGGCAGTGTATGTTGCAAGCCTAAGCACATCTACAGCTTGTCTGGACATGTTAGAACGAGCCTTTGACTAGGAACCAGAGGCACTGCCAGGAGTAGAATTGTAGCAGCATATTGGACACTAGGTACAAAGCTCACCTGGGCATTCACCCTGCTCTTGGGTGTGTTATCTCTGCTAAGATTTGCATGTTTTATGATGAGGCTGCTAGCTAGTTTCAGTTTACTTGTGCATGATGCATTAGTACTTTGGTAGCGTAGGTACCAGTAATAATTATAATATCCAACATAAAACATACGGAGACATTGCGCAACTTTATTAAGTAATTAAGACTTGGAGATAATTCTAATTGAAGGTCTTCTGTAAAATGAAGCATTCTGTCTATACTTGTTTGTCCTCCCCTCATCAGGAAGAAAATAGTCATTGATGGGATGTTTTTCCCCTTGCAGGAGGTGGAACCAATAGACCTGCTGGTGTTCAACTCTGCTGCTGAACTGGAAGCTCTGGGTTTAGATAAACTGAAGATGGAATTGATGTCTTTGGGACTGAAATGTGGAGGCACTTTAAAGGAGAGAGCAGTAAGGCTTTTTTCAGTGAGAGGTCTGTCTAGAGACCAGATTGATCCTACCTTGTTTGCAAAGCCCTCTAAAGGGAAAAAAAAGTGATTTTTAAAATACATATTTTTTTAAAACATGATTTTCTGTCTATGTGCTTTTAAATCTTTCTTATTCTGTACTGCCACATAGAATTCTTTGGCATCCCTGGATAGATTTTTGTTTCTGTTCTTAAGGAAGTTCTATTAATGTAACACAGGGTAAGTTGCTAGATAGCGAGTTAGTTATGTGTTCAATATTAAAAGAGTGAACATACTATCTTTTGATAAGCTTTACAGATTGTTATAACAAGTCTTAATGCAACAGCTAGAACAAACTCACTGTATATGGAAAGAAATAACCTGGATGTTTTCTGGAAAATGGTTGTATTACCTATCATCACCTATTTTAAGAAAAGCAATCCTTTTTTAGCTTTATATTGAATCTCAATGTGTATTCCAGTTAGCACAGTTACAACTGTCAAGTGAGAAACATTGAACTTATGATCCCTTCTTAAAAGCTGAAGTTTCTTTATATAAAAAGAACATTTTTGTATGGATGATGTCAATATAAATAAATATGCTGTTCTGTGAGTTTCTGTGGGATGTCAGGGTTGATATAAATGCGTTTAAGTATTTCTTATAGAAGTTAAATGAGGGCATTTACTTACTTTGCTCTGGAAAAGTATCTGAGTGACGGGAAAAGAGAATCACATACTTAAGGAATTAAAAGGAATAAAGTACACTTGCTGCTGAAGGTTAGTATGATGTGGAGTGATCCTCTGAAGCTGAATGGGAAGTTTAAGATGGGCTTTAGTTCTGTGTTTGTTTGGGGTTTTTCTGTTTGGGTTTGAGGGTTTTTTTCAGTGATAAAAGCAATGGAACTGACTCCCAAGGACTTAAATACCTGCAGTGGTAGCGCTTTATTCTAGAGCAGCGTCTGTAGTTTCAGCGCTGGGAGTTGTCCTGTGGGGTGGCGAGGGCCCCTTGCTGGAAGGGCAGCTCGCTTGTGGGGCTGCTGGTGCAGCTGCCACTTCTCTGGGTTGAGAGGCCTTTAGAAAGCGTTCGGTTTGGTGCCTCAGATTCTACCACCATATGCTGGAGAATATTATTTTTATGATCTGCTTATCAGGCTTTTTGTAAGAGATGCTTGAAAAAATAAAAATTATCTCTCCTGTTCTGAAGTCATATCATCCATTTATCTGTTTTGAAGTTTGATTCATAAAGTTTTGAAATACGATACTGGTAGGAAATGGGCTGCAAATGCTAGGAGATCAATTCACTCATGTAGTATTTAGTGTTTCTGCTTGAGCAGTTTGCATCTGGTGTTTCAGACAGTTTTACAGTCTTAAGAACTTTCTTCTTGGAAGCTGTTTTGTTTATGCTTGTAACTTGGGGATGGAGAGAGAGCATTAAAGCTCAAGGATTCATTCTTCACAAACCCTCCAGGCAAGCTGTTCAGTCAGCCATAGGATCACAGAATGGGTTGGGAGGGACCTTAAAGATGTGGTGGTGGTGGTGCAGCAGCTGCTCCGAAACGCTGATGAACCTGAAGATGCAGCCTTCCCTCACCAACGCGACTTCTCACGCAGGCTTCGCTGGGAGTTGACGTTGTCACGCCCACTGCCCCGCGGGTTTGTGGGTTGGTGGGTGGGGGCAGAGGCGGGGTGCGGGGGGGGCTGCAGGAGTCCCACGCCGGCAGGTGTCGCTGCGGGCCTGGCCTGCAGCACCCCCTACCTCCCTGCCACCCTCGTGTTGTTTTGCTTAGATCCTGGTTGGTAGAAGGTCCTCAGCCCTGCTGAGGGCAGGGGTGCCAGCTGGGAAGTGTGGAGTTTATTTCTAATGCGGCAGCTGATGTCTAGGCAAAAACACAGTTAAAAACCAACAAACAACCTATAGTTTTTCTACCCACAAGATGGATTTGAGACTGTTTACCTATTTGCAGGCACTTTTGATGTGGTTAAGTAAAAGTCCTCGGTATCTCCAGCTTCTGAATTTATATCCACAAAATAAGCTTTTTTAGCATCCCAGAGAGTTATGAAAAGGATAGGCAGATGTTTGCAATGCTGGTAATTACACTGTCATACACAAACCTGGCACCTGTGGATCTGTTTGACAGTGTTCTGAAAACATAACTCATAGCACTTGGGGGCTAAATTGTTAAAGCACATTTAAACTGTTCTGTTTACTTACATGTGATCCAAAAGTAATGAACTTAGCATTTTGCAGCTTATCATTAGTAAAATCTGATTTGTATGATGAAGAGTGATTTATCTGTAGGAAATGATATAGTAAGTCAGTAAGTAGATGTTTGGTGGCAATAAAATACTTGACATGTCTGTTATTTTAATCTATAAAGGAGCCTTGGAAAATTTGGGGGGAGGAAATAAAGAGGGAGGAGGGAGACATTAAGACTTCACAAATCACATCTGGTGGGGATTGTGACGGGACAAATGGACCTTGTTGTTTACTGAGTATATTTCACTAGGAAACTGGAATGGAGGGTACCTGGGAGTCACCTCAGCACAATGAAGTTTTGCTGGTGTAAATGCGCCTGTTGGGAATGTTACACAGTGACAGCGGTCCCACTTGGGGGGCAAGCCTTCAGTGTGCTTACAGCCACTCATAGAAAGGCATGCACATCATTTGGGTCAGGAGAACCTTCAGCTGTATGAACATGCTGAAGCTCCATTGTAGTGCGGCAAGGATAGCATGGGCCAAAAGTGAATGGGCCAGTTCAGTGATGTGTTTTGTCAACTCTTTCCTAAGTTACTTCCCCTCACTGCAATTGCACTCTTGATTCAGTTGCACTGACACAGACATTTCCAAGTCTACCCCATACATCCCTATTTGCCTTTTTTTGTTGGTGTGGGTTCCTTGTTAAACCAAATCAGTTCCCTGCTGGGGCATATGGTCCTGGCACAGATTTGTTAGAGCCACATAAACCGAAGTAGCATTACGTAGGATAGGGAATCTTTATTCCCTATAAATAAATAGGCTGGTGGGTGATGGGGAACTGGAGTATTTTAAACCAGCAGTAGCACCAAACACCCTATTGATAAACTGTCTTCAGTAGTGCTGAAATTGAAAGAAACACCCTTCATCTGTGTGAGAGAACAACAGCTTATGTGTACCTTGAATAAACTCCTCACTTTGGCACATTTATTTGGGAATTGTTTAGCTCCTGATGATCTAAACAGGAACAAGTGTTTGCTGTGGGTTATGCCCACACAAAGGGTTAGCCTAGAGCAAAACTGTGTCTCGAGAGCCCTGTGAACATTCACTGGAAGTGCTAGACCTTTACTAGACCTTCATGTGTCCACAGGGTGTCCTTCAGAAAACAGCTGGATAACAAACAAGGGTCTGACTGATTCTTCTACAGAACAGAAACAAGTAGCTGAAGTGCTTGAAGCTTTCGTAAGAATTTGGGCAAGAAAAGCAGGAAGTCAACAAACACCAGTTAAAAAAAAATATAAACTGAAACGATTCCAACATAGTATGGGCCACTTCCATTGGACAGAATGGCCTCAGAATAGAGGTGATCTTTATAGCCTAGGGCCAGAGCATGACGCAGAGTTTGCAGTACCCTGTCTGTATCTTTCTTTTTCCAAGGATTATTGCAGCTTTGGATTTCAAAAGTGTTTCTGGTTGTAAATGCACCAAAACTGTGAACATCTTTCCAGAGAAAAGGTTCATGCTCCCACGCAAACACTTCCCCAGGAAGCATGTGGTGTGACTTACAGAATTCTTCTGAAGTGTCATTTTAAATGCATTTATTTCAAACATCTAGGAGATCTGGAGCACTGCTTTTTGCTTCTCTTGTATTTCAGAGATACTGAATGAAAAAACTAATTAGGAAAAAACACTGGCACAAACCTGAGAGGAGGCTTTTTCTTGCCTCACAGAGATCCATCTATGCCCTAGAAAGAAATTTAAGTACATATAATATGCAAAAAAATAGCAGGGAAGAGGGCAGGTCATTACTCAGGCAAAATACTCAGCTTTGATAAGAAATTGCTTCTGGCTGGCAAGTTCAGAATTAGAGCACACTGTTTCCTTCTGTGCTGCTTTCTAACAAGCCTTTGATGCACTGATCACTCAGTGTGTCAGTCCCGAAAAGCAACACAGTGAACCATCCAGCATGGTCAAACAGGAGCATTCATTGCTAAACCTGAATAACCCTTTATTTCCTGGCTTCTTTCTGTGGCACAGAAGACCAAAAACTTGTTGCAGTTGAGTGAAAATGGTTACAAAGTTTAGAGAAGACGAGTATCACAAAACCCCGCTTGGCTTGGCTTAACTATGTTTTCGATTTCCACTGATGATTTCTGTCTTGGGATCTCCCAGCAGTGCAGGGAGTACTGAAGAGCTGGTATTCACAAGTGCACTGTAGGATTAGGACTGTTATCTGTTTTCTGAACTGAGCTGCAGGAGCTGCAGGTCAATAAATAACCTGGGGGAGTTTAGAAACAGCAGCAGCAGCAGCAGATCATCACAGCAACAGCTGCCAGCCTTTACCAAGAGGCTCCTTTTCCATTTTCCTTGCCTGAGAAGGCCTCTGCAACATGAACAAATAAACAAGTTACTAAAAAAGCCACTTCAGTGTTTTGACCTAAACACCACTTTGCTGGAGCGCGCAGGAATTTCTCCCAGGTTTCTCTCAATCCGACAGCTTCTACGCTTGCCACTATAGGTGGCACTGAACTAACAGCAGGGATGTGTCCAGGGTCAGCAGCACTGGTGAAACTCTCAAACCTTTGAACAAAATAACTGACTGGGGGCCCTGTCTCTGTCCCGTGGTGTGCACACACAGTGCTGCTGCAGAGCAGGGATATTGGATCATGTTTATGCCTTTCTGCCCATTCCAGAAACAGCCAAAATTAATCATTTTGATCCACCTGAAATTCATTCTTATCTGAGATTTTGCTTTGTGGAGAATGTTGACATAGTAAAGGTTTGTTTGTAGCAATGTCCATTTACAGGAAGGTGCTGTTTTTAAATCTTAAAGGTTCCTCCAAGGCATTTAGCCAGAGTTGTTAAAGACTGCTCCCTAGTTAACACAGCCACCTTAGCTGCCTTTGCATTCAGTTATAGCTGAGCAATTAGGGAGGTTTTGCAGATTAACATATCTAATGGCACCCAAAGGTGGGGAGGTGACAACTGCTCTGACCTACTCTGGCTGTGGAGGAAAAGCTGAGCAGGCACTGCTGCCTTCCAGCACTGCTAGAGGCTGGGCAGGGGCTGGTAGGTCTGGATTTGGACCTAGCAGCTCTGCCTGTTTGGAAAGTGTCCTGGTGGTCTGAATGCATGTGCTGCACGTCCTGCTTCTCCCTGCTGTGGTCGCTGTGTGTCTCTAAGCAGACACAAGGAAGTGGGAATTTCCACAAAACTTGGGGCACAAAAAAGGAGGAAGAAGCTCTTGAAAGACCTACCTGGGATGTATGGAAAGGAGAGCAGTGTTTATGAGCAGCCAGCCAGCTTGCGAAACA